ATAAGTGTCAAGAATAAAAAGAAGTATATTAATATATTTTTCCGTCGACCTCGTATTAACGACTAAGTTTAATGTATATGAAATCGTTCATTAATGACCCCTATTAATGAACGATTTGTCTATTAATACACGATTGTTTTATAGGCAGCCAAACATACACCGCATGCATTCATTGTATATGCTATAACTTACGGAATCTGCATTTATATCGAAAATATGGATTTCATCGACGATTTTCCGTTAACGGGTTCGCCTTTCCAAGTTTCTGACACGATATTAATCCCTGTTTTCTAACACAAGGCATTTATTTCCTATGTTGATCATTTCGACAAATGTCAAATGTGTTTAATGTCAGTAACAAGGCTACTGGGTGATTCTTAGCAGTTTCCGGATGGATGATGATTTGGCGAACCAAGTTTTCTTCATTGCAGGAGAAATGAGAAATATAGTCGACGGAAAAATTTTGTAATACACTAGTTGGTTAAATAACTATTATCACAGCTAGTTCAGATCACTAATTCTAACGAATGGTATTATTCTACTAATAAGAATAACACATCAATCGATCTACGAACTGGTTTTGCCTAGAGAATAACAAACAATGTACAAAGACAAACAATGTGAAACGCCTTGTTCGGAAGTAAATACCAAATTATTCAAGAAATCAATGAATGCTTGATGTCTAAACGTACATCTATTAGAGCACCTTCATTACACAGAAACAACATTATTATTGGTAAACAAAGGAGGCTCCATGATGAGATTTAAAAGAATGGTGAATTGATGAGGAAAGTATAGTTCTTATCAATGTGAAATCGTATAGTGGCTGTTTGAAATTTTTATTTTATTTGTCGGTTTTTATTCATGAGGAGTCTGACGGTAACACCCATAACATGTGAAGTACTGTTAATATTTTGACTCTATGATTATATCTCCAACAGTTTTTGAAATATACTTTCTAGAAGATTAGGAATATATTACACTCAGTTCCAAAAAAAGTGACGCACTTGATATTTGACCTATCTTCTTGAAAAAAAAAAATAGTAGGCCGATTTTTATTTTTTTTATCTGTTGGTAGGTAATGCATTTGTCTTTAAAAAAAATATAGGCGATTACGAGAGTTGTGGTAGAGTCGCACAAAATTCGTAGTCTATCTGCTGGCAAAAAACCAAAATTTTTTCCAGGCGGACTCTCTACTCTTCTTGGTATTTTCTGATATTGAATCGCTTACATAATTACTGCTGATCCCTGTAGGGGAAGGAGACCCAAAACGAGACATTTCAATTCTTAAGTGACTGATATAAAATGTCAAACTCTGACAATCATAGCACTCTAATGCTGTCGAACAGAATAGCCGCTCATATTATGTTTGTTTACCTATAAATAGCCCCTGATATATGTGACTTCAATCATGAAATTTCATAGATGCAGCCAGGTGTGAATGAAATAATCATTAATATACTACTCGTACTTGTTGAAATATCCATGGGGTGGATGAAATAATTCCGAAATTTTTAGTGACAGTTTAGCAACCCAAACAGATGAATCAATTGATAGGAACAGGAAACAGACCATTGTTTTCTATTAGTGACAAAACCATCCGAGATCAGCATCAAGAGAATATTCGCAGTCGTTTTTCTCTCCTTGTATCCCGTTTTATGCCATTCGTTATATCTGTCTGAGAGTTACACAATAGTGCGGTGGACAATTCTCTTTTCATCAGGCTCATAGATATCATGTTATTTAGTAGGGATCGGCGAGACTATAGTGGAAATCCATCGGCATATTCATAATGGAATTGCATCGATACATATTATTCGAATTGGACAACTTCGTCGTAGACGTGGAATTAGAGCTGAGCGAATTAATGTCTGGGATTTGTAATCGAGCAGATGTAATTTCATTCGAGTTTAATCAAGTTAGGGTACATACTGGGCGACATTTAGAAAACTTCCCACCCTCAATATCTTCCTCCCAGTAAATAATATGAGAAATCTCAAGGAGGATTGAACAACTTATCCTCTCCATCACTAAAAATTTGTAAAATTGTTCTATCCGTCATTCGGTTGCCCCCTTACGAGCAACCCTCAGAAGTCTTCGAAAGTCTTGTGCGAGCAAGGAATGACGGGGGCCTTACCTTTTAACGTGTGATCCCAAACACTTTCTTAGGCCATCAGAAAAAGTCTGCGTTCGTGGGACTCGAACCCACGATCGATACCTCGACGTGAATCGATATTGAAGCATCGAAGCACTGAGGTACGCTGGCCACTAACATTAAGAAATGGAGTTCCCCAGGGGTCTATTCTCGGACCGTTGCTCTTTATAATTTACACTCTCGAGTTTTCCAAATGTCTGAAATATTGCAATTCTCACTTCTATGCGGACGATACACAAATTTACTTCTCTTTCAAAGAAGAAAACATCATCGAAGCTTGTAATTTTATTAACGAAGATCTCTGTTCGCTAATTGCACTCTCAAATAAATTTTGCCTAAGCATTAACCCCTTGAAATCGAAGGTACTGGTACCCCGATTAACTTGAAATTTGGCAGGTGTTTATAATTTTGGTGACAATACATTATGGAATATTTGTTGAAATTAAAAAAAATGGCTGCTCCAAAATGGCGGACAAGATTTGGTCCGATTCCATTCAAAATTGGTCAGTGGGGATTTTTGAGGTCGGAGATCATGATTTTTTTGTTAAAATTCAAGATGGCGGCTTCCCAATCAATTTTTGTTTTTGTATAAATGCGATAACTCCGTTGTTATCAACACAAAACTATTACTGCGACATATCATTTGTAAGAGGAAAAAAAGTTATTTGAAACTAAGTCATAGTGAGCTATGACCTACATTTGAAAAACTAAAGTTGGTGCTGATATCTCAAATTCTAGAAGAGTTGGTATAAATTTCATCTTTTTCGAAATCACTTTGAAAAACTGCCATGAGAATGTGAAATTCCTATTTGAATATTTCCATAAATAAAGAAGTTACGGAGGAGACATGAAAATGATCAAAATCTGTTTTTTGCGTATAAAACAAAAACGAATAGATTTTATCGAAATATTTTTTCACATTATAGTTGGCCTTGACAAACTCCACATTTGGTGTCATTTAACCGACCTCGTATCTCTCACCGTTAAAAAGATACCCATGATGAGCATGGTAAGTGGGACACACTGTATATATCCAACGTACATGATAACCTCTTGTTTCATTTTCGCCAGCGCCTCTGGTGTTTGGTTCCTCAACTTTCTCGAATAGCAGGAATTTTGAATAATCCATATGTTATATTCAAATATTTCGAGCGCTTGTAAATCGTGAAGGAGATGAAATATCATGAGCATTTCAGGCTTTCATCTCGTCCAACCATTTACAGACACTGCATGTGAAAACAAAAAGCTCAGTAAATGAGATCAAATTATTGAAATGCACCAATTTTTGATCAGGTCATGCAAACTGTGATAACCTGTAATAATCAGGATGAAATATAACCTTATCAATCATTACAGGATCTTCATACACTTTATCCACTCCAGCCTTTTTTTAAATTTGGAAAACGATGTCAGGAAGTCCTGGGAGTGCACACTTGTCTCGTCCTGAATTTCACTATTTTGTACGATTAAAAGTCAACTATTATTTATTTATTTCTGCACTTTTGATTGAAACAATATAGAATTTGTGATACATCGGCAAAATATCACTTCGAAACGAAAAAATAACTCTTCTAAACGGGCAAAAAATCACAACAAAGAAAACATGTCAATCGTCATTCGTCAAACAAAACATGAACGCCATTTTAAAACCAATGTGGTGGCTGAACTGATGATGTTGTTCAAGGTTATCCTATCTAGTTGGAGGTCTATAGAGAATAGTTTGTTTATGATCTGGACTCATCTCCACATCTGGACCAATTTTATACAAGCTGAGACTGGAGTGGGAGGCGTTTGCTGCTAGCATCTATCAAAAGAGCAGCAATATCTATCTATTAGCGGACAATCGTGGTCTGTTGCAAAGGAATCTATAGTCTCCAGGATGATTTTCGATGGTCCCCTTTGCATTTGCAAAATAATAGAAAGAAATGGTAGGTAGGTGTGGAAAACTACCAGCTGAGCGTGAAAGCGATCCAATGCTTCATAATGGGCCTCCTTTAACGGGGGTTAACGAGGTATCTGGCCAATGCTACTTAGTGGGTCTTCTTTAACGGGGGTGAACGAGGTAGCTGGCAGGCCTGCCACTGCGGCATATGATAATGAGTACATCACTAGCCTACAAAACACATTCGAAAAACTCTGAAAGAGAACTGATGTATGGTACCTGAAAAGGGCGTTTGCCAGCTCTCTTAAGCGAACCACATCGCTCATTGAAACACCTTGAGGCTTGCAAAAAGGTCCCAATAGGGACTAGTTGCTGACGTGCAAACGTCCCCCACCAGTACAAGTGAAAGTACTCACAGCAAAGTAACTCTGTTGTCGGCACCGAAGCATGTTAGGGATTCAAATGTGAATTCAAAACAATTTCATATAATCTTGGAGTTCATCTTGCTAGATACTGATGTTTTCGTTTTCTGGAGGTCTTTTAGTCATTCGAATAAAAAATGAGTGAGTGATCTCCGTACGAAAATTTATTAAAAAAATGTCACCCATACAAATATCACGAAGTAAGTGAAGAATATGAGATGAACTACGATAATTTCCATATATAACATGTTTTGTCTTTTCCGAATCTTGCCGTAAGTTGACTTGAACATGTACTTGTCATCTTTGTTGATTTTCCTATATTGGCACCTCCTCAGCTTCGAATATTCCGATACAAATTGTTCTTGCTTGTACACTTCAAATTTCTTGAAAATCTCTCTCAAATCATAGAGTTGTTGGCAATAAGAATCAGATTTCACTGATCGTACATTTTCAGGTGACAGCAAATTTCTCGTTCTTTTAAAAGTAGGAACTTCATTTTTCTCGAACATTCTTGTCTGTGTTCTAACATAAACAAACCTACTCCTGATATCCATCTTCTTCACAGAATATATCTCTTTATTATGATGCAGTGAAAACAAAGAGTAGCTAAGCGAATGTTCCACGAACATATAATGAACGATTTTGTCTCTACTGTTGACATGAAAAGATGTGTCAGCGGCTATGTCTTTGTTAACGAAGATTGGAACCATATTTCCGGTACTATCTTTTTTCCTATTGTTCTTATCTACAGATTTCCTAGAAAAATTACGTGGGTCATAATTCACGGAACTTCATCTTTAAGGGGATTTACCTATGCTCAACTGTCATGTTATCAACCTTCAATACTTTCTCAGAAGTATTATGAGACGGTCTCCTTGATGTTCCAACAGTTTCTGATTTTCTCTTGGTGTTTTTTTCTGTAGAATCATAACTTCTAGATTTATCTTTTCTTGGACTATTGTATGTACTTGAGCTATCTCTGGAGGTTTCTGCTGTTCTAGAGTCATCTTTCAAGTTTTGCTCCTGAATAGCTGGTAACTTGTTGGAACCAAACGAATCAGAAGATTTTCTTCTTTGTTTGCATCTACACTTTCTGATAAATTCTTCAATTTGAGGATGAGCCAAGATTTTGGGTTTCAAAAGTTGACAGAAATCTTGTTTATTATTAGTATTTGGCGCATTTTCACATGAAACGACTGTTATTTCACTCTTGTCACATTTACAGCATTTTCTGCTCCCCTTCCTTTCTTCGTCCCGTTTTTGTTTGCACTTAGATTTTGAACTGTCACTATCAGAAAGGTCTCCATGTTTCTTTCGTCTCTTTTTTTGAATCTTCACTTTCACGTTGATATTGATATTTCTACAGTTCTCATGATCTTTTCCACGTTCACAATTTTCACTTTCTACGGACGTTGTTTGATCAAGTTTTGAGCAACTAGATGCGGATACACTCTCATCTATTGATGATATTGGCGATATAACAATTGTTTCTGGCTTCGTAACAATAGGTTCTGGGTTCATTACAATATTGACAATAGGCTCTGGTCTTGTATTGATAGGTTCTGGTCTTGTGACGATAGGTTCTGGTCTTGTAACAATAGGTTCTGGTCTTGTAACAATAGGTTCTGGTCTTCTAATAGGTTCTGGACTGGTAACAATAGGTTCTGGTCTTGTAAAAAAAGGTTGTGATTCCATACCAGTAGATTCTGGTATCATAATAACAGGTTCTGTATGCATAACAATTAGCTCCGATTGTTTAACATTAGTTTCTTTTTCCACAACAAGTTTTTTATTAACTGCTCCAGAATTCATGATACGTTTTGATTCTGGTTTCCGAGGAATTGACTTTGGTTTATTGAGAATAGGTACCGAAAAATTTGCCTCAGCTTCCACAGATACAGAACTTTGGCTAGATAATTCTGGCGTTCTGGATTCCTCCGGAGAAATCTCAAACTTTTGGCAAGACAAACAATGATCTACTACTTCTACTATCCTACCTACTTCTCTAGGTCTTGGCCTTGAACTTTGATGACCCGGACATATTTTGCGTTTGACGTGTTCGGTACTTTCACAGCATTTCTGTTCGTTCATGGTACTAGAAAGCTTGACCATTGCTTTTTCACAAAAACGGAGGGTATTGGTGAAACAAGGTGAGATGCATTGTGCTAATTCCTCATAGAAGAACCTTCTTCTATAAGGTTCACAAAGATTATCATCGCCTGATTCACTCAGAGCATAGCAAGAATCGCATTCTTCTTCATCGTCTGAATGATTCTCCATGTTTCCAGTCAGTACAGCATAGGAACTTCAGCGAAAGGCTTGCATCTGAGGAAGCTACGGATACAATTGGAAGCTAGGTATCCGAGAGTGAAGAGAATGATCAGTACTGCAAGGAATTTGAGACAGCAGCTCTTGGGCAGGAATTTGGAATACGAATTTGGAGCACAACGACTACAGTTGCATTTCAAACGTGGCTTACAGTCAATTTTCATCTTTCATAGTCGGGGACGATGGATGGTAATAACGACAAATTTTGATAATTGGTGACATTTTGATGATAGGTGACATGAATGTCAGTTCAAATGTCGAAACCTAGAGGCGATCCATTAAGCCTATTCCACACGACGGCAGTGGCACAAATAGAACAAGTCAGACAAGAGTCGTTTATTGTCACTTTTATTGAAATAATTATGTCCTTAAAATTGAAAGTGTCGCAGATATATTTGGTACCTGAGCTGTTGAGCAGTGAAATAACGTAATTCTCTACGAAAAAATATGTACAACTTTGAATCTGAGCCAGGAGTTAGGAATGTTTTCCCGTAGTTTTCATGTCATCTCAACGTCAGATTTTGACCTTGACTATCGCGAATAAGACATATTATTTTCATTAAAAAATATTAGCTGACCTATTCGACAAATGGGTTTGTACACCCTAGTAGAATTTACTTCACATACCAATTTCATATTGATGGTATCTGATGCAATCATTCGTTATTTAAAATAATCGCAAATATATTTTTTTCAATAATAATATTCGTCACCTGCGAAACACGCCAGCTTTGATGAAGTCATGAACCGAACTGAAAATCATCGTTATCTGAATTCTGGCTGTGATGGCTATGAGATTCAATATGACCAATGACAACAGTATTCACATTCATAGGAGACAAAAGTTCGACCTGATCCCTAATAATCACTAATTGGATACTTATACAGGGTGTTTCACAGGTAAAGGGAAATATTTCAATGGTAGATAGGGGTCACCAAGGTGATTCTGAAAATACCATATTTGATAGGTCTTAGAGTCTTCATAACAGAGATAGAGGGCGATTTATCGATTTCGAATAATTATTCATTCGTCTATAAGTATTGAACTACCCAGTATATTTTTCTAGAATTTGGTATGAAGCTCAAACTTGTGACGTTGAATGCATTCACCTATCGGGCGAAGTGAAAATCCAGGTTCGGCTTCAGGAAAAATTTACATTTATTCGAAATATTAAAATATCACACTGTATGTAATAATTGACAAAGTTCATCAAAGGAATCGTGAAGAGGAGGAAAAACTGAACTGGATGTGATGCTTTTTGTTTTCCCGCCACCAATTCTCATCGTAACAATCATACACAGGAACCTAAAAGTATGTCAATTTCAAGAGTATTAAAATTATGAAACCACTTTCAATTATGATTATTTGATATATTCTCGTTAAATGATTGTTCGAAAGAACTTACTGTGTCTCACAGTCTAAATAACAGAGATACAGGGTGAATTATCACTCGTCCATAAGTATTAAACTACCCATCGCAGTAATATTTTCTCAAATTTGCTATTGAGCTTACTTGGGACGATGGATTCATTCACCTATCAGGCAGAATGGAAATACAGGTTCAGCTTCAGGAAAAGTCTCATAGTCTTTATAACAGAGATACAGGGTGAATTATCGAATTATAATTCCGCCTGATAGGTTAATGAATCCATCGTCCCAAGTAAGCTACATACCATATTTGAGAAAATGTTACTGGGTAGTTTTATACTTATGGACGAGTGAATAATTATTCAAAACCGATAATTCACCCTGTATATCCGTTATAAAAACTGTGAGAATTAGTAAGTTCTTTCAAGCGATTTTTTGACAAAAATATATCGAATAATCATAATTGACACTGGTTTCATAATTTCAATACTCTTCAAATTGACATACTTTCAGCTTTCAGTTTATGATTGTTACGATGAGAATTGGTGGCGGGAAACCAAGAAGCATCAAATCCAGTTCAATTTTTCCTCCTCTACGATTCCTTTGATGAACTCTGTCAATAATTACATACAGTGTGTTATTTCAATATTTCGAATGAATGTGAATTTTTCCTGAAGACGAACCTGGATTTTCTCGTCGCCCGATAGGTGAATGAATTCAACGTCCCAAGTTCATGCTCCATACCAAATTTTAGAAAAATATACTGGGTAGTTCAATACTTATAGACGAATGAATAATTATTCGAAATCGATAAATCGCCCTGTATCTCCGTTATGAAAACTCTAAGACCTATCAAATATGGTATTTTCAGAACCACCTTGTTGACCCCTATCTTCCATTGAAATATTTCCCTTTACCTGTGAAACACCCTGTATACTTGCAAGATGCTTCAGTACCAATTAAAGTATCCTAGTATTCCTGATTATGATCGATTTATTCAAATTCAAATTATTTTGTGGCCCTGGCAACGGCGTAATGCCAAAAGTTCCCAGAAATACAAGAAGAGACGAAGCAGATGAACTACATTTGTCAATCATTCGTCAACCTAACTTCCTAACGTCAGTATCGTCTGTCACCATCTTCAAATCGTTGTTTCATCTAGTCAAGATGCGAATATTCAAAGATAATCCTCCTATCATCTGACTCTTCAGTTGTGTGTTGTGTTTCCTGCAGTAGGTATTCAGTCTAGCGCAGGCATCTTCTGAGGAGGCGAACTCTTTACATATTCTGATTGAAATGACAATCAGTATCAGATGATTACGTCAATCGTTTTTCTGCGACAATAATCGTATGTTGTGATCGCATGATAAATTAATGAAACCATCAATTTTTTTACACTTTTATTGAAATATGTCCTTGAAATGGAAAGTGTTGCCGATATCTTTGATACCTGAACTGTTGAGCAGAACGATAACGTAATAGGACATTATAAAAAACATTAGCTGACCTATTCTGTCACCAATGGTCAACGTCCTCAGTCGCTTAGCGAAAAAATAGTACGAGAAAAAGTGAATGAAATTGGAAATAACAATATGCTCGCAGATGATCAGCTCATGAAAGCTGCTGTAATGTGGATCCCTCGAAGCATCATTGTCTCCAGAGCAATTTTTATCCTCAATGTGTTGTGGGCGAACAGTCTGTGAAACAGACAAATGCATGAGATCATCGCAAGTTGACTCACGCGACGAATCAGTGTAATTAGTTGTGACAGATAGGTTGCTGTATTTGATTAAATCATTTTGCTTCAACCACGATTTATATTCTTCATCGCTAATTCTGAAATCCACATTGCTGTTGAACCGTACCCCAAACGTACTCGCTGATTTCGATAATGGCCGCTTCTGGTCATTACATCCATTCAAGTAACTATTACTGTACAGGTTCCTGAGACTCAGATACCTTTCAGTTATCACGGGAAAATTCAGCCCTTGGAAATCATCGCAGGAAACATCCTTGTCCAAGTTCCTGCTATCGTTTTTGTACAAGATTTTGTTCAACTGTCCGCTCCTGCTGAACTTCGTATTCAGAAACCGCACTTGCTCAGAAGACGATCTGCTACGAATCAAGGAATCTTCATAAAAGTCACAGAAAAATCTCGAACCAATCTGGATAGGCTCAGGTGGCAATTCCAAATTCAAATTGGCCACACTATCTAGGAAGTATTTGTGGTATCGGTAAGGTCTGAGGATTCTCACGTTACTAGGTTTCGCTTGGAATTTGACGTCATTGGGAAACACATACATGTCCGATGGCTTGATGCAAACTTGTTCGGATTTATCGGTGAAACGATTACATTGCCTTAGCAAGCTGGAAACAGTGTGGATTATATTGAGAGCTTGAGCGTTGATTTCGTCTGAGCTCTTCAGTTTGTCATGGTCTTCTTTGTTGAAGTACTTTACCAATAGTTGCTGCGCTAGTAGATTCTGCTGGAACATTTCTTGCTGGACGTTTTGATTCAGCAAAAAGGAGGGTGAATATTGTGGTACGGTTTCCAATTCCGATGCGATTGGACTGTCTACTTTTTTTGACTCGATATCACTCAAGTTATAGTTTACTACAAGAACTTCTGCTTCTGAAGTTGGAATGGAGTTTACATCGCTTATTTTAACGGTTTTTTCAGAACTTGCATTATTAATTTCTGATGGTTCTTCGTTGATATCTTCTAATCTGAAACCCTTCCGATTATCTGGCATGGTAGTTAATGATTCTTGAATTTCCTCATTCTTCTTGATTTTATCATCAGCATCAACACTTGTCGTGATTCCACTATCATTAGGAGATGGCTTCGCTGTTTTATAATGCAAAATATTGGATACCTGCTTATTTCTACCGATCTTCTTCGAGGTACTGCACATTTTTTTATTAGGCTTGGCCTTGCATGGTTCTTTCGCCATATTTGTAATGACTTGAATTTTATGATATGATATATTGCAAAGCAGATATACTAGAATATTGGCCCCAAATCGAAATGAATATTCCCCTGAAACCCAACAGACATCAGAATTTAGGTTTTGACATTAGACATTTGTCAACAATCTTTATTTTCAATAATGCATTTTCTGTATTAGTTCACTTGGTGTCCTGATAATACAGGGCGATTGATAATGATCTGATATGATATGATTTATTACAAACGTGAAAGAAATTGAAAATTGGTTAATCTAATCCAAAGTTTGGACGGTTCGAGAATGATGAAAATTTTCGACTCAAGTATTCATTCTCTATTTCTGTAATAAGACAAGTACAAGGATATTTTCGATTGCCAATTTTTATAAAAATATGATTTGCACTATTTGGCAATGACACTGAAAATTGGGTAGAATACTATATGGACCTTTCAGAAATTCAGAATCCTGTTTATTACTTATATTGAATATATATTGCAGCTATCACGAAATCCAACAAACAACTGAAGAATCAGATGATCTGAGGATTATCCACTACCTCTAAGCATTACGCTGTTGCCAGGTGGAGACGACTATTCAGCAATTAACATTTTCATGTCAATATTATTCTACCATTGCTTTTTGTACAATTCATTATGACTCGCCTGCATACTTATCATGTTCTGTATACCTTGATCGTAGATAGCAAAAGTTTAAAATGCTTATACATGTATGTATCACTTCAACAGTGTTTCTTTCTAGAATTTTATATGGTCTGAACTTTTACGATATGTTTTTCCCCTATATTGAAGCGATATTTTTACTGTTACTACAAAACAGGCAGATATTATTGCGACAACCAAAATACCTTCTGGAACATTTTACTCAAGATATTATATCTTCATGGAAGTAATATATTTCCTCGTGAATTTCTGTAATAAA